TAATGTTAATTTTTTTTTTTTTTTTTTGAGACAGAATCTCCCTATGCAGTTCAGACAGGCTTTGAACTACGTAGCCCAGGCTGGCCTTGAACTCACAGTGATCCTCCTGCCTCTGCCTCCCAAGTGTTGGGATTATAAGTGTGCACAACCATGCCTGGCTATCCTAGGAATTTTAATATATTTCCTTTTGGGGGGGTACCATGAATCGAACTCAGGACCCTGTGCTCTTGAGGCAGATGCAGCAGGACCACTGGCTAAATTCCTGGCTATCCCAGGAATTTTAAAAAAGAGGTGTGAGTTATGAAAGTTAGCCTACTCCTTAGGCTTCATGGGGTGAGCCCAGGGCCTAACCCCCAGATTGTGTTTTCAAAAAATGATTATCAGGTTAGGGTTATAACTCAGTGGTAGAGTGCTTGGCCTGCATGGGTGAGGATCTGGGTTTCATCCCAATACACACATACACGTGCACACCTATGCATACAGAGTTGACAAACTAGGATTAATGTACTTTATAACATACTGAATAAGGAGTAGGAACATTCATTTTAGGGACAGGCACAGGCAAAAGGAAAACAATTATGTGGCAGGTATGTGTATCTTTTAAGAAGTACTTCAAGAGTTATTATATGTATGTATATATATATTAAAATCTCCATTTCACAGACACGTCCCTTTTTTCACAAATAGTACAGTACTCTACATACTATCCTACATCTTGCACCATACACCTTTAACACGAGAGCTTCCTCATTTTCAAACACACTTCTGCAACATAAAAAGTACAATTTAGAGTACATTTGCCAATTACAAGGTCAAGGCCAATTTGAGGGGCCATCTCAAAAATGAATTAGAATTTGCAAGCTCAGAAGGACTAGAAGTTGACTTGAGATTCAGGTAAGTAGGGCTCAACTACGGGTAGACCACAAGTCTAGTTGGGAAGAGGTGTTTACTTTTCCTAAACTCAGTTACCATGTCTCATTTGTCCCACCTTTAAGTACACCTCTGACCTTTCAGCAAACTAGGAATCACTGAATACATAGAATCTCTTGCAATTCATAAATATCACAAATATAGTTGCCTATATTACTTTTTGTTTTTTGAGACAGGGTCTTGTTGTGTAGTTCAGGCTGGCCTTGGACTTTGTGACCCTGCGGCCTCAGCCTCCAAGTGTACCACCACCTGGCTGCTGAACACTTTCAGAAATGGAAAGAAAGCTGGGCATGGCAACTTGTGCCTGTGATCCCAGCACTCAGGAGGATTATGGACAGTTCAAGGCCAGTTTCAACCAACCAACCAAAAAAGTGCATTTAAGGGGAGATTCTGTTTGAGGTTCAAAGATTTTTGGATATCGATGGGAATATAGAGATACATTTCCATCTTTTTTTTTCTTTTGAAGGTGAAGAAACAGTTTAAATCAGTTGTTTAAAGTGACCCAGGTAAACAGTGTGGTCTAGTCGGTACCCATGCTAAATTCAGGGGATGGCCTGCCATCAACTCAGAAAGTCCAGTAAGTGGATGAAAATGCTGCACTTAGGTATGCGCCATTCCAAGAAATCTACTACATGTAATACCGTTTTTAGTTGAGGCTAGATATGGAGTGACAGGGACCCAGAAAGTCAGGGTAAGAAGAAAGGGAAAGGACTTTCCTGTCATGGATGAAACTAAGGTCCCTGAGCTACTATGTATCCCTCATTTTATACCTGTCTCATTTTGTTTTCACCATAACCCTGCAAAAGATATTACTGGATTTCATTATTTGTTTATTTATTTAGAGACAAGTTCTCATTTTGTAGTTCTGGCTGGTCTTGAACTCACTATGTAGCTCAGAATAGCCTCAAACTCAGGGAGATCTTCCTGTTCAGCCTTCCAAGTGTTGTGATTACAGGCATGAGCACACGCCTATCCTTAGCATTCTAAAGATGAGAAAAATTGCCAGGTGTGGTGGCACACGCCTGTAAGCCCAGCACTCTGGGAGGCTGAGGAAGATGACAAATTGAAATGCAGTGTAAGCAATTTGGCAATTTAGCAAGATTCAAGCTCAAAGTGGAAGGAAAAAATAAAATAAAGGCTGCTAAGGTAGCCCAAGAAAAGGTCCTTGGGTTCAATCCGCAGTATGAAAGAAAAAGAAAAAAAAAGTGAAGGAAGGGTTAGAAAAGTTGGGTATAGGAGCACACAGCTGTAATAAAGTCCTGTTCTTTCTGGTCCAGTCCCCCCACACCCCGCGCGCCAATACACCAACTCCCCAAGAGTGAGAAAACCCGAGACAGTGGTGGGAATTAACACTCCTTTGGGGCCAGAGAGCAAAGCCTCTGCTCCCCATTCCCAGGCCAAAAGTCTTCCCAGGGGACACCAAGGATGTGACGATCCACCCTGCTGTGATGGAGCGAAGGAAAAGGCACATCAAGGAGAAAAAGAGATACGAGGAGCTGTCAGATGGAGTAAGGCGGGGCCCTTTCGCCTTCCCCGCTAGCGTGAGGGAGCCGAGCTCGGCAGCTTCATCCTCTCGCGCCCCGCAGCAGCCACGTTTAACCTTCAGCTGAATCTGGACGCGACCAAGGCGGGCAAGGTGTACACTTCAGGCAGAAGCGGAAACTCGCGGCGTGAACCAAAACTTGGGCCGTCGGGCGGCAGTGATTCGAGGACAGTTTAAAAGAGAAGTTAACAGAGACGGAAAAGCGCTCTAGGCTGCACGACGCGCCGGCCACCACGGGGTGGGG